TGAGCCCTTCCCCGTGGGGTCTGACGCCACCTCCAGGAGGAGCGTGTCGGACTGAGACTGGGGGGACACTCAGTTGGTGTCAGACAATTGCTTGATGATGTCGGGGAAAACACATCAGAATTGGGTGCAGAATCATACACTGACACCCCTAACATCACACCCTTGACCCCCAGCCCTGCCCACCCCACAGCCATACCCATCCCACCCATAGACCTGCCCCGCAGCCCTGACCACCCACAGCCCTAACCACCTGCAGCCTTTAGATCCCCATGGTGTCTCCATCACTTCTGCCTCCCAAGCCTCACTCAAAGCTCACCTTGGACCCCATCTACCCTGGAACCGTGCAGGGAAGGATCCTGGGACACATGGTTCCCAGCACAGAGAGCATGGATAGAACACTCCAGAACACGCAGTGTCGGAAATCCACCTCGGGCCCTTCAAGGGGCCCAGCTGAAGAAGAGGGAAGCAGGCCCTGGGAGAGGCGGCCCTACCCGCTCTTGGGGGACAGAGGTGGCCTGGGGGGGTTGGGGAGGAAGTCCAGCGCTACTGCAGCCCTCCCCGCCTGCACCCCTCCCCCTGCCTCAGCTGGCTGGGCCGCGGCCCCCCAGCCCGTGCTTACAAGTAGGAGCTCCTTTGTCTGTCCTGCCTCCTATAGGCCTCACCATCTACTGCACATCTCCAGCGTTTTTAAAGTTCTTTGTCATACGCCATCTTGGAAATTTTATTAATCAAATTAGGCCACTTTTTCCTTTTATGATCTGTCTCATCAGAGAGGTCTTAGCCCCAAGGTCATATGTTCTTCCAAAATTTCTTCTACATGTTTTCCACTTTTAACATTTACATCTTTAATCCATCTGAGATGAACCTTGTAGAAGGTTATAAGACATTTGTCCCTGTCTCCTTGCCAGTCACGGACAACCACAGATCACCGAACGTTGGGTATGGGGGTCTCTGTGCCTACGTCTGTCAAATCCCAAGTCTGGGTGGGTTGGCCCGTTCTGGATCTTTCCCCACCAACACTAGTCTCTACCTGAGGCAAGTCCATGTGGCCCTGAGTGTTTGGTTTTATCTATGAAAAAACAAAATTCAACTGAGTACGTTTGAAGATCTAATTGGCTTCACGTAATGATTCATGAACCAGGCAGTGTCTCATCTTAGAAAAGGGTCCAAGGAGATGCACAAAATGGAAGCCATATATAGGCAGAAGTGGGGAGACAGGAAAATCTTGTGTCAGGCAAGATTCCCCCCAGGGACATCAGCCCCAGGGGATGTCCTCTCTCCCCCAGGGACGTCCTCCCCCCAGGAACATCTCCCCCTCAGGAACATCCTTCCCACCAAGTGACGTCCTCCTGAGAAACATCCTATCCCCAGTCCTACCCCCAGAGACGTCCTACTCCCCCTGGGACATCCCCCCGAGGGACGTGGCATCACACCTTTTGTCCAGGTGTCCCTCTCTGTTCTTTACTATGATTAGAGTCCTCTCCAGTTCCGTTTGTTTGTAAGCATTTCATAGCTTTGGTTGTTATGAATGGGAATTTTCCTGTTTCTAACCAGTTATTAATAATATAGGAAAAAGTAACTTTATGTATTAATTTTATATATTTATCACTTATTAATCTAGTAGGGTTTGTTAAATCTTTTAAGTTTCCTGGTTTTATGATCATGTCATTAGCAAAAACAGATAATCGTTGCCTCTCCTTGTCCAATATTTGCACCATGACTTTGTCCTTGGCTGATGCAGACCCACAGTGACAGTCCTACTGGGCGTGGCTGTCGCTGGCGGGCTGAGGGGTTTGGGGGGGTGCGTCATCTGTGTCCCTTTCCCTGCAAGTCCTGTCATGCTGGGAGCTTTTCAAGGGACCTTCTGCACGATGCAATCCGATGGCGTCCCCCACGCAGACCTGGTGAATTTGGTAGTTCTGCTGGAGGTTCTCTGACTGCGAAGGACTTCACTTTTCTCAAAGAAGCCTTACTTTGTTGTGGTGTCTTATATTTGCTAGTATTTTATTTAGAATTTTCACTTTATTTTCCTGGTGTTTTTTTTTTTGAGAATCAGGTTGGTATTAAGGCTTTGGTTGGTTCAGATAGGAACTGGGACATTTGCATCTTTTTTTAGGGTCTGACATAGTTCAGATAGCATCTTGGGAAGGCATTTTGACAATTCCTATCCTTTTGATCCTGCAATCCCGCACATAGGAATTGACTGCATAAAAATACGTGCTAGTTGGGCACCTGGGTGGCTCAGTTGGTTAAGTGACTGCCTTCAGCTCAGGTCATGATCCTGGAGTCCCGGGATCGAGTCCCACATCGGGCTCCCTGCTCAGCGGGGGGTTCTGCTTCTCCCTCTGATCCTCTTCCCTCTCGTGCTCTCTGTCTCTCATTCTCTCTCTCAAATAAATAAATAATCTTAAAAAAAAAAAATACGTGCTATTTACAACTCACACAGAAAAAAAAATCTAATTAAAAAACGGGCAGAGGATCTGAATAGACGTTTCTCCAAAGAAGACACACAGATGGCCAGCATGAAAAGATGCTCAGCATCACTCACGTCAGGGAAATGGCAATCAGAACCTCACCTCGTTAGGACAGCTCTCATCACAAAGACCAGAAAGGACCGATGTTGGCGAGGACGTGGGGAGAGGGGACCCTCGTGCTCTGTCGGTGTGCATGCCACCACACGGGTGAACGTGGAGGACGCCGTGCCAGACACACTGCACTCACATGACGGCCTGGGGGAATCAAGTGCCCGGAGACAGGAAGTAGGGCACCGGGTGTCAAGGGCTGGGAGCGGAGAAGGGGGGTGCTGCTCCCCGGGGACACAGGGTCAGTCGGGGAGGGTGGAGGGCGGGGGCACGCCACTGTGGGAACCGACTTGCTCCCACCAAACTGGACCCTCAGCAATGGTTAAAATGGTAGATTTTATGTTGCGTGTCTTTTACTGCATTTAAAAAACTAGGTGGATAAGCTAAGGACTTAAACTATCCAAACGATCTGTAAAAAGAATAACAAGGCTGAAAGACGTACAATGTCAGACTTCAAGACTTACCGTAGTTCAGACAGTTAAGTGTTGACACAAGAGTGGAAATCATCACTAACGGACAGAATGCAGACTGTGGATGGAGACACACACGTGGGGGCAACTTATTGATGGATTTTTAAAGCTTATTTTTTAGTAACCTCTGCACCCAGCGTGGGGCTTGAACTCACCACCCCGAGACCGAGAGTCACTCGCTCCACCCACTGAGCCAGCCGGACATCCCTGGGCCGCTTATTTTTAAGGAAAATCCCACAACTACTGGGGGGTGGAGGGCCAGCCTCGTCCGCAGTCGGTGCTGCAACATGGGACCCCTCCCTCACCCGCGAGCCACGGAGCGGAACGCAGGGACTTTCCTGGCCAGCTCTCCGTTCCCCTAGAGCTGTCTGGTCTGGTTCTAAGAATGCTCGCTAGCACGCACACAGGATGTCCTCCGCACCACAGCCGAGAGCCGGGAAGGATCTGCCCGTCGGCAGGAGAGAAGCCGACGGATGGCACCCCGGCAGGCGTCTGTGACCCTGAACGGGGCAGGCCAGAGGCTGGGTGCGGAGACACACACACGTGCCCGCCGGCTCCTCTCCCCGACCGTGTCACACACGCACACCAGGGTAACCAGGAAGGGCTCCCTGGAGACCAGAAGGAGTCCCAGGGTCGCACGCGGGCCAGAAACCCCGGCACCAAGAGCTGTTTTCCAAAGAGACCCGTAACCTGCCAAAGACGGTGCGGCCAGCTCCCAAACTGCAGGCGTCCTCCCGCCGCGGCCCACTCCCAGCCGTGGTCGGAGCGCCCACAGGACGTACAGCGAGGTGCGTGTGGCTGCCCGGCCCCAGAGAGGCCAGCACGCCCTGCGCCCTCGCCCCAGTGAGTGGCCGTTGCTCTGGGGGCCACTGAAGTCCCACAGCCCCCTGGGAAGATGACCCCTGCATTTTCCGGGGTTCTCTCCTCCCTCCTCTTCCGACATGTGTGCGTGGTTCACCGCGAGGCCCCTGCACCTGCTCCCTCCTCCTCCCCTGCCCTTACCCGGCGGTGGGGTCACCACTTGGGGAAACACGGGACGGTGAGGGTCCCTGAAGACAGTGGCACGCAGCAGGGGACTGACACCGCCTTGGAAGAAAGCAGTGATGCTGAGCTAGTGCCCTACGAGGCCCCCATCCGGGAACTCTGCTCCCGGGGGGCAGAAAGCGCTGGTTGTGGGCCTGTGGATCTGCTCCAGTAAACACACCTCACGTGGGACAGCAGCTGCAAATGGTGTGTCCCCCCTGACTGAGCTGAAGAGTCCCCCGTTGTTCTCAAAGACACATCTGTCTTGGAAGCCAACCGAGATGTGCCGGGAATCCACACTTCTGGAAGGTAAGGTGGCTCCGGGGCCATTCAGGGGATGGGCCTGTTCTTTGGTCCAGTTACACCTTCAGGAAGTGGGTAGGCGACCTGGGGGTGGGGGCGGGGTCCCACTGGGCCCTCTGCAGGTGGACGGGGGCTGGGCCTGCGCGTGGTGTGAGTGTCCGGACTCGGAGCCTGGCGATGCAGCTAGCTCAGGGGCCAGTCAGCCCGGGGACCCTGACGGAGACCAGGAAGGTCCTGTCGGCCTGCTTCCCGGGCGGGAACGTGTGGGCTCCCACCTCACCGAATTCCCGCCCCAGACTTGCTCAGCTGGTTCTCGGGAGGCTGCCTCTCGCGTTTCTAGCAGCCCCTCTGTTTCTCTCCGAAGCGCCGCCCCTCCAGCTACGAACCCACTGTCTTTGTTCAGGGTGTCTCCCCACCCTCATCATCAAGCCCCTGATTTACACCCATCGACTCCCCATTCTGGGCACACCACAGGGGGTCAGCAGGACGGAGGTTAGAGGCAGGGAGGCAGGGCCTCCTTCTGGGCCTCAGCTCGCGGGGACACAGCTCACAGGGGCCATCGGGGTGGGGGGAGGATGCACGCAGGCCTCAGCGCCCCTCCTCACCCCTGTCCCCGCCGCAGGACCCTCCGGAGCTTTCCAGGACACACAGCGACAAATAAGGCCACCGTGCATGTTCTCGTCTCCGTTGCCTTGCACACATGCCTGGGCCTCCCCCGAAGGGACTGTGGTCTGTGGGCCCCCCAGCGTCCCTGAGCCCCAAACAGTTGTTACGGAAGAAAAATGCCCTCGGTCATCTTCAGCATGCTGGCTTGCGCAGTGCTGGGTCCTCGGCCGGCGGGGTCCTCGGCGAGAATCAGGACGGGCACCAAAACCCTGGCCAGGGGTCCCGCGTCCCTCCCACCACACACACGCGAAAAGCAACAGTTTCCCAAGAGTGTCCCGATGAGGCAGTGACGTGTACTGATTTTATTAAATCTTGGCCCTTGGGCACATCTTTCTAGTATTCTGCGTGCCCACTCCCGTCCCACCCTCAGGACTACGCCCCGGAGAGCAGCCAGTGTGCCTCGTCTCGCTGCCGCCCAAGGACAGCTGGACGCACTCTCCACGGGAACACGCTTTTTACCTGAAGGGACTCGGGCGCCTCCTGGAAATGGACAGCTGTCCCTGCGGCACCACGTGGTCGTGGTGACCGGCGCCAAAATCCGGCTTTGGTGCCGAGATCAGAACCTCGGAGGAGCCGCCTCCACGGCCCGAGCCTAACGTCTTGCCCCGGGAGGCGACCAGAGTGCGTTTCTGCTGGCGTCTGCCGCGCTGAGGGCACAGAGCCCGGCCTGACCTGGGGGGGCGGTATGTTCCACGGGCCCAGCGCACAGCGGGGCAGGAGCGCGGCGAGCGGGGCCCCCTGGGCGCCACACAGCCCTGGAAGCGCCGGCGGGCTGAGTCCACGCGGCAACCAGCCTGCGCGGCTGGGGTCCTCCGGGAGGGGTGTCCACAGCGACCTGCACACGTTAGTAAAAGATCCCTTGCTTTTCCAAACACCCATCGGCGCGTCCCGCGGCAGACCGCGTCCGGAGCCGGTCGGGGCGGCGGTCGGGCAGCCCGCGGCCTTCTCCTGAGCCAGAGATCGTGGGGCGTGTGATACATGCCCCTCTTCTCGTGAAAACCTTTTGTTTGGGAAAGCGTATTTTTCATGCAATTGTTTATGTCAACATGTAATGGGTTTATTGTTATTTTTAAGTGAGTACAGTTTTTAAGTCTTGGGTCTGATGCCTAGTACAGTCGTCTATCAGGTCCTGAGGACCCACAGGAACACTGGTGGTAACATCTCCAGTCTCCCCCAGAGCGCGGGGGGGCTATGCGGGCGCCGAGGCCCCAACCAGCGAGCGCGTCTCCAGCCCCGTGGGATGAAGCCCCACTGCTCCCGCCGGCTTGTGGCCCGTTCCACTCCCCCTCGCGGAGTCCGAGTTTCTGTCCCCCGACGCTTTTCCAGGTCTGACCCTGGCAGACGGCACACCGGCCACAGGGGCGTATGACGGCATGCTCGCGTTTCATTCTGCGTTTCCCGGCGCTACATGAGGCCCTGCAGGTCTCCTTCCATCCTTTAGCCTCATTCCCTTTGCCCCCACTTCTTTTTCATTTGGACTTAAAAATACTTTCTTCAGGGGCACCTGGGTGGCTCAGTCAGTTAGGAATCTGACTCTTGATCTCAGCTCAGGTCATGGTCTCAGGGTTGTGAGTTCAAGCCCCGTGTCAGGCTCTGCGCTGGGCCCACTTGAAATAAACAACTTTCTTCCATTTCAAAACAAAACCCCACAATGTTATTGAGAATATTGTTGGAATTACATTAATAAAATGATGACACTTTACTTTAGAGCTTTTAGGAGCATGTGGTTTCTCCACATGCTCAGGAATTGTTTTAGATTTTACAATAAAACTGCACAGTTTCCTTCGTGTCAATCCTGGACTGTTCTGGTTAAACTCGTTCATAGATTCCCTGCAGTTCTCAATCATGACTGAACGGAATAGTCCATTCTCATAGTCCACAGGTTCAAGGTGGTTTAAAGAGCTCTTGATCTCCTGTATATCTCCTTCCTGGGAATATAAAAATATCATCTGAAAATAAAGGTAATTTTCTGTTATCCTGCTTATTTTGTTTGTCTTAATGCATTAGCTAAAAATGCCAATGTTAAATAATAAAGGTGAAAGCAAGCATGTTCGTCCGGCTCCCAACTTCCGTTTTTGGTATTAACAGGTTGTCTTGCTAGATCTTATCAAATAGCTCAGTGTTTACTGATCTCAGTGCCGATAACTACAGAAGAAATCAGAAACTCGCAACGGACACACGGCTTACGGAGGGCGCGATGTGGGCGGTTGCTCGGCTGACCTCTGCCGGTCCGCGCCAGCTCTGCCCCGGCCCAACGGAGCACAAGGCAGCACCGACTCCGTGAGACATGGAGAGAGCGAGCCCTGACCCCACACTCAAAGAGACAGCTGGGAAAATAAAACAGTGCGAACGGCCTCTAAGTACAAAGGTAAAACTGCTACGTAACACAGGGCACCTGCGGCCTTCCACAGCTGGGGAACGCTGGTGCACGCCACGGCCCGGCCCCGGCCCCAGGAGCGCCAGGACGGTCACCCAGAGCCGCGGTCTGTTGCCACCTCGGCGACCCTCGGGCACGGCCGCTCGGACGGGGATCCAGCCAGCGGCCCGGTGTCTGTCAAACGACCAAGTTCTCACTGGGGCTTCTCGTCTCAGAGGCAGCGGCTTCCTGTGCCTGCACCCAGCCCCCCGCCCGGGTCTTCACGCGACGCCCCAAGGTCTCCCCTGCAGTGGAGTGCCGCGGTTTGTTCCCCGCACGCCTCCCCCACGGCTGCGGTGACGTCGCGCTGCTCGCTGACACTGGCCCTGCCTGGTGGAACACCGCACGTTTGGGCAGAAATACGGCAAGTTCACACTTCCGCAGAACCGCCTGTTCCGCATTCACCAAACTACTGCCTTTGGTGCCAAAGCAGCGTGGCTGGAGTCCACGGCGCGTGCGCTGGGGAGGCCCCCGAGGTGGCTGAGCCGGGGCGTCCTGCCCTCTGGGCTCCACGGCCGCCCAGCCTCTCGCCCACCGCAGCCAGGCCTGGCGCTGGCCTGGGCACCCCCTGGGCGGCCACGGGCAGCTGCTTCACGGACCACTGCAGTCGGGCGACTGTGACCGCCTGCTGGCCGGACCTCTGCCCGCACCCCACCCCTGCAGGTCTGCTCAGGAGCCGCCAGGAGCTTTCCTAGACCCTAAGTCAAGCCACGTCACCTGCCACGTCCCTCCGAACCCTGCTGTGTGGGAGCAACACGCTGGTCCCAGGCGGGGAGCCCTTCGTCCCTGCAGCTGGGGACCAAAAGCCGCAGTGGCCAACAAGACTTAGGAGGAACTCAATAGAGAAGTGTCTGGAAAGGTCTTCCCCCTGGGGACAGGGCGGGGGTGGGGAGGTGAGCTTTGTCTCACAGCTCGGGCAGCGCACCCCTGCTCGGCCCGGCGCCGTGGGTCCCGCTCCCGAGCGCCACAGCCGGCTCCCACCAGCTCCCCGTGCCCCCGTGGGCCGCCGCGCCGCCTGGCTTCTCCCGCGGCCCCTCCTCGTGCAGTGCCGACCACAACCTGCTGCGCGTCATGTCCCTCTTCGCTCGTTTGCCGCCCCGACCGGAGCGTGAGTGCGGGAGGCCAGGCCTCCGTCTCAGCGGCGCGACATCCCGGGCCTGGAAAACCGAACCGGGTAGCGCACGTGGGCAGCTGTCCTTGCTTGGTTAGCGTTCTCGCGGGGACCCGGTGCTCCGAGGGGGGGCCGTGGGCTCTCCGAAAGACGCTGCGGGCTCCAGTGCGGGATGAAACAGCCGTCTCCCCTTCCCCCTTCGGGAGGGTTTCTGTTCTGGGCGCCAAGCTGCCACCAGCCTGTTTCTGTTCGCTTTTGTTTTTGGAATAGACCAACCTGGTGCATTCCCTCTGAGCTGAGAAAGTGAACTCTGCTTCCAGGGAGTCATGAAAAACTACACATTTGATATCAAAAGCCATTTCAAGCGTCACTGATAGTGACGGTATTGGAGAACAGATGCTAGGAGTTCTTACTAGGGAATCGCCCCAGAGCGAGCCTGGAGTCCCCGGCCTGTGTCTGAGGAGCGGCTTCCGTGCAGGGAAGTCCGATCCGGGAGCAGCCCCAGGGGCCAGCAGGAGGCCGTCTGCCTCCTCCGGGACCCGGCCTGGCCCGGCTGGCCCTTGTCGTGTGGCCGGCCTGCCCGGCCCTGGCTGCCCGCCCGCCTACCGCCTGGCAGCCTACACGTTGGACTTGGCGATCATCTTCTCCAGCAGGCTCATCATGCGCTCCTGTAGCTGCAGGCTCTGCACCTGCAGGAGGTTCTGCTGGTCCAGCACGCGGCGCACCTCCCGGCACGTCTCCTCCATGGCGCAGCTCAGCTTGCGCTGCTCCTCCAGCATGGCCTCCAGCAGCCGCAGCTTCTTCTTCTGGAAGTGGCAGCTCTGCACCTTGCGCTTCTTCACGGGCCGCTCGTCCGACCTGGAAGGACAGTGCCAGCGTGGGGATGGCGGGCCGCAGGGTCGGGGCTCCGCCCGCCCGACTCGCCCAACCGCCACGGCGGACACGTGGGGAGCGGAGGCCCTGGGCAGCGGTGAGGAGGGGCTGCAGCCCTCCCGCCGTGACAGGAGGGGGCCACCGGGGCCGCGGGCACCGCTGCCCTGTGGGACTCGAGGCAATCGGGTAACCTGGGTCCCAGGGCCATCCAAACCCCCGTAGCCTGGGTGGGTGGGGTCCACCGTGCCACCAGAGCACCCCGAACTCACTGAGCGGGTGCCAAACCCACAGGCCCGCTGTGGGGCTCGAGGGCAGTGGCCACACGGGGGGAGAGACGAGGAGGGCTGGTGGGAGGGGGCGCTGCGGCTTCTCCCCCGGCCCGGAACCTCAGCCCGCGCCGCGGCCGTGCCCTGTGCTCTCTGCCCCGGGGCGGTGAGCATCCCTGGTCTCACTGGCCACACCCCACCGGTCCCCCCAAGGCCTTGCCAGTCCCCCCGTCTGGGTCCTGTGCTTCGAAGCAGAGCGGCGCCCCAGCGGCTCCCGTGTCCCAGCCCTGGTGCGGTGCCTGGGGCAGCTGCGAGTCGGGAACCGGGTCAATCCACGGACACGTCTGGCCATAAACCTCAGGTTTCCAGCTGATTCCGTCTGCCGTCACAAAGGCATTCCTGTCTGGGGTCTTTGCTCCAGGGAAGGGGCGCCAGACAAACTGAACGGCAGCCCCTGATTTCTGACTCCCCCAGACCCTCCTCACCTCACCCCTGCCTGACAGACCTGAAGGCCAGCGCTCCACCTGCTCTCTGCCTTCTCTTCCCCAAACGGCCAACTCCTATTCACCCCTGAAAGCCGACCCCAAATGTCCCTCCTCTGCTTGCCGGGCCTGCACACCACTGGCTGTGTCTCTGCACCCGTCTGTGGGCATCCTGAGGGCGGGTTCACGCGGCCGGTGCTGGCCTAGCAGGGCGTCTGTGAAGGACAGAGGGGACGGGCACGCCCACTGCCACCAGCTAAGGAGCATACTCTGGGGGCTCAGCCCAATTCCCCTCCCAGCCAGCCTCGCCAGGGCAGGGACAGGGAGGAGGACCCCAGGGCAGGGTCTGCTAGGGGGTGACGGGGAGCCCCGAAGCCAGAAACTGGGGAGTCGGTGGGGGTGGGGCATTTGGTCTTCCTCCGTGTCCCTTCTCTCTCGTGACACTCGGACAAAGTGCTGATTTATCCCCATTTTACAGAGGGAGACTGAGGCCCAGAGAGGTCAAGGACTTTCCACACAGCCACAAAGTGATGGAGCAGGGAGATCAACCCAGACTATGGACATGATGGCCCGCACTTCAATACCTCCTGCCTCCCCGTCTGAGGCCTCCCCGTCCAAGGCCAGCCTAGTCTGAGGCCTCCCCGTCCGAGGCCAGCCTGGTCTGAGGCCTCCCTGTTTGAGGCCTCCCCGTCTGAGGCCTCCCCGTCCGAGGCCAGCCTAGTCTGAGGCCTCCCTGTCTGAGGCCAGCCTGATCTGATCTGAGGCCTCCTCATCTGAGGCCAGCCTGGTCTGAGGCCTCCCCGTCCGAGGCCAGCCTGGTCTGAGGCCTCCCCGTCCGAGGCCTCCCTGTCCCTGGAGGCCCTTGCATACCACCTAGGCCTTTGCAGCCAGCCAGGGACGGCAGAGGATGCCACCGCCCCGAGAGCTGCCGGCCCTCACCGCTCCCAGCCCCTCCTCTAGCCGCAGGGTTCCTGGCCCCTGCTGGAGGTGGGGGCAGGGAAGGAAGACACACCTGAACTTAAGGGACAGTAAGCTGGAGGAGCTGTCGGAGCCATCGTCCTGGAAGCGGCCTTCGTAGGAGCACTGGTTATACGGTAAGTACAGAGGGGTGGACTTAGCAGACGGCGACAGGGACGCCTCGGTCTGGGACGTGGAGGGCCCCGGCTGCTGGCCGTCCGGGAGTTTGCCATCACAGGACTCGGGGACCTTGGCCAGAATCCTATCAATGGCTAGGTAATAGGGCCAGTCGGGCGGGACGGACTCGCTATCTGTCATGCATTTTAATTTCCTGAAACGAGAGACACAAGAGCCAAGGGTGAGAAACGGAGCTGCTCCCGGCCTGTCCTGCCTGGCCCTCGGCTGAGGGGTGCTTGGGGCTGCTGGGGCCCCAGGGAACCACTCTTGGCCAGACAGCCTCTCCAGAAAAACTGGCCAGGCTCCAGGGCCAAGGTGACACGAGACTTGGAAAGAAGTCGGGCTGGGGACCTACCCCACGGTGGGTGCCAGAAGCACGCGGCCCAAACGTGAATAAGGTCATCTGTGAGTGGTGGGGCCCTGGGCTGTGTTTTACTGTTTCTGTCCTTGCTGGTCTGTAGTTTCTAAACTCCCTACAAGGAACAGATACTGCTTTTAAGTAAGTTAACCAGCAATAATAAAATAAACATAGGAATAAAATATTATTACAAGTATCATATAATGCAAACATAAGAAGTCATAATATAAGAAATCTGTTTTTCTAAAGAGAACGCCTTAGAAGCTAGAACCACAGGAGTTCAGGGCGCAGGCTTCAGCGTCCAACAGATCTGAGCTGTGTCTCATCTCCACCACTTTGCTATGTGACCTTGGACAGGTTCATTAACCTCTCTGAGCCTCCATTTTCACATCAATAAAATGGGATGAGCAAAGTAAACTCCTCACAAGCTTTAGGGATAATTTAATAAGACAAAGCCCAGTTCCTGGCAAACAGCAAACTGACCAGATAACATTCTTGGCTGAAGGTACCAGGAGGCAGCAGGATCCCTACTTAGACTCCGGGGCCATGGGTATGCACAGCACAGCTTTGCCCACCATGGGTGGGGACCCCACCCAGCCCTGCATCCTGCCCTTCCCTGCAGACAGGCCTTGTAGGGCCCTGGGCCTTGGCTGAATTCTGGGGGCTCAGGGATGGGAGACATGGCTGCAGGAGAGCTGGGAAGCCCTGGCCAGGCCAGGAAGGAGGCCACAACTCAGGTGGGGACGTTGCTGTCTGCCCCATCAGATCCAGCCTTAGTCTGTGGCCCCCACATTCCTGCCCCATGCTCTTCCCAAGTAGGGAGGCCCTCAAGCTATAAGAGATCCCTGTGGCCAGATAGCTCCTGCCTCCTGATGTGGGGCTCCTGCCAGCGTGGGCCCCTGGTCACACTGGTCACTGGAAACACTCAGCTGACCATCAGAATGAGTTGCCTTCAGCAAATGGGCCCACCTGGACGGCAAGGGGGTCTGTGGCTCAGGGCAGCAAGCCGAGGCCAACATCCACCAAGCAGAATGTCCTCAGTAGAAAGCCAGGGACAGGCCACAGAGGGAAAGGCATGGCCGCTCTGTCTCCCGACCCCAGGGCCATCCATCACCCTGGAGGCCTGCACAGATTCCAGGTGCAGGAAGTAGAGGACTGTGCCTGGGGCCCACACTCAGCCTCTGCCTAGGCTCCCTCCAGCCTTTCCAGAGGCCCCCCTGTGCTTGTTCTGACCACTCAAGCCAGGCTACTCCTTGGAGAAATGAGGGAAGGCCTGGCTCTGGCACAGGAGACCCCGGTAGGGTATTCCAAGAGACCATGCTCCATGGAACCCGGCTGCCCCCTCAGGCTTCCTTAGCCTGACAACCCTAATATGTAAAGAGCTACAGTGAAAAAATAAGAAAAGACTTTGCTATGGGAGGCTTTCTGGTTGTGGGTGGGGGAAAACAGATAAAGAACTAGTCAACCAATGAAAGCATCAGCCTGTTAAAGGCTGTGTGGCCTTGGGCAAGTCCCTCCTCTGCTCTAGGCCTCAGTTTCCCCCTCAGGGAATGGGAAATTGAAGTGTTGTATACGTGTGCAGTCCTTCCCCCCAGCAGCAGACTGCAGCGTCTGGAGTGAGCCCTGCCGGAGGGCCCAGGCCCCTGCTCTGCTGCATCCTCCTCTCCTATGGCCTCCTTGGCCCACATCCCCTACCTCCAGGAATGGAACAGAACACCTCCCCTGGGACTCTGAATAAGGCTCTCAGGATAAATAATGAATAACTCGACCAGACACTGATCAGAGCCCATGAATTACTGAGTCAGATGGGCAGCCCCCTCACCAGGCACAGAGGGACGTGCTGTGTGCGAGGAGGAGGGGGTAACGGGGACACACACGTCTACAGACAACTCAGCCCTCACATCATGAGCTGGTGGCTGGAACTGAACATGGTTTATGTTGTGAATGAGGCCTTCACGCCCTTAGTGGCTGCCTCCCTTCTGGCCCCTGGGCCTGCCTGGGAGCTGGGGCTGCGGGTGGAGATGGGCCTTCGGGCAGGTGCAGGCTCTGGAACTACTCCTCCAAGGGCCACAAAAACAGCCGATGGGGTGTCAGGGGCCCTGCGAGCCTCTGCATGTCTCCAGGCCCCAGACGGGCTGGGAGCTGCAGGCCGGGAGGGTCCTCTCAAGGTGCCCAGGGCAAGGCTGCAGGCCCTGTCTATACCCAGCCCTGACTGCACCTCTGGCCCCTGCTCATGGCAGCCACTAGGGCGGGCGGAGGCGGCCGGGGCTGGGAGCCGCTGGGCACCTGCACGTGCCCCGGGGACAGCGCCCCTTTTGGGGACATTGACAGGCCCACCCCTGCCAGTATGCCCTATGGCCCCCCCACTCTCACTGCTGCTCTTCCCCCCATGGCCCCCAGCTCCGGGGCGACCTGCCCCCCAGCAAGACCCTAGCCTGACCACGACCCTGGCGCTGCCAGTGACCCTCGCCATGCCCATGACCCGCTCCACACTTGTGACCTTGGCCACGCCCAGGACCCTCTGCACACAGTGACCGTCTGCAGACAGGCCTGGCTGCCACACAGCCCGAGGTGCTGGGCCTGGGGGGCTGTAGCTGGCTCCCCACCCAGGTACCAGAGCTCCCCCGCCTGGGAATCCCCTCCGCAGTCCCCCTCAGGCTGCCAGGGCAGGGTGGCCACAGTGGGAGGGTGGAGGCAGATGGGGGGCCAGGCCTGGTCCCCACTGCTTCGTTCCACAAACAAGGCCCCTCCCACGAGTGGGGGCCTGCTGGGCGCTGCAACATCAGCCCCGCCACACACCCCGCTCCCTGCCCGTGGCCCGCGCCGCCCGCGCCCACAACTGGGCTCGGTGGCTGCCGGAAAGGACAGAGCGCCAGCACCAGGCGGGACTTGCAGGCCTGGGAGCTGAGCCTCCTTCTCACCCCTGGTCTCAGTTTCCCTGCTTAGCAAAGCCACGCCTGGGAGGCCGGCCCGCAGTCTCCCGGCTGGCGGGAGGGCACGTGGAGGCCGAGTGGGAGCCGCCTGCAGGTGGCACCCAGGGCAGGGCCCAGGGGAGGGTGCTGACCGCCCTGGCCGCCTCGCTGGGCCTCAGCTCCCCCGCCTCCGTGGCGGGAGGCAGCACAGACGGTCTGTGCAGGCCCCATCTCGCGGCCGGGCTCTGCCCACGCAGGCCTCCTGACTCAGCTCCGAGGGGGCCGCGGCAGCCCCCGCAGCCCGGGTGCAGCCGGCCGGCCGCTGAGCGGGCGTGGGGGCTGTGCGGGGCGTGGGGGTTGTGTGGGGCGTGGGGGCTGTGCGGGGCGTGGGGGCACGCGGCTCGCGGCTCGCGGAGCCCACCTGTACTGGAAGGTCATGTTGGTGATCTTGATCTTGATCTCCTCGCCCAGCCGGCGCTCCCCAGTCATCTCCAGCAGCTTGCTGGCCATCTTCTCGTACACCTTGGCGTTGCGCTTGGTCTGCTTCAGCTCGTCGAAGAACTCCTCCCAGACGAGCATGAGGCCACGCATCTCCGCGTCCGTCCAGTTGCGGGCGCGCCGGTGCTTCTCTGTCTGAGGGGACACGAGGTAGCTGGGCACCTCGGCCGCAGCCATGCTGGAGGCACCTGTGGGGTCGAAAGAGCGTGCTCAGGCGGGGCCTGCGGCCTGCGCACCAGGGCGGGAGCCCCACTCCCGGAAGGCAGCTCCGCGCTCAAAATGGGGCCTACATCTGACAGGCAGGAATTTAGTTAAAAGCTTTTAAACGGGAAACGTCATTTTGATGTCACGTTTCCATAGCAACAGAGCAACTGCATAAAGCTACAACAACAGAAACCTTTTAACTGAAAGCGCAGGAATCAGGGCTGCCCTGACGGGCCATCAATACAGCAGCGAGCCGGCCAGACCCAAAACTGGCGGCCCGGGCGCCCGCCCCGCCGCCTACCCCGACCCGTCAGGAGCCTGGTGCACGCTGGGCTCGCGGGGCTCCCGAGGGCGGGGGTCCAGGCCACGGCCCCCACCTCAGCCCTGCCCCACTCACACAGGCCAGGGACCCAGGGGAGCCCAAGATGGGGAGTTGGGGGGCAAATGAAGAGAGAGAGGCGGAAACGGACAGGAGGGTGGGCAGCGAGGGGTGAGGGTGCAGAGGCGGACGCCCCCGGGGACCCACAGCAACCCTCGCCTACCCAGGACGTGCTCCACACACAGCATGTCCCTGGCCACGTGCTCACATGGATGGGAAATGCACGGATGCCAGGCTGGGCAGGATGGCCCGTCTCCCTCCTTGAAGGTGGGACCGGTTGCCGGCCTGGGTGACGTGGGGAGAGCGGAGAAGCCGGGGCAGTTCTTGAGGCCAGAGTGCAGCAGGCAGCAGGCGGGCAGTGTCCATCTGTCCCTCCCACCCTGGGCAGCCCCAGCACAGCCCCAACCTAACCCTGCTCAGCACCATCTGTACTCGACCTGCTTCCACCAGGCGGTGGCATGCTCCTTGCATCCCCAGTACCTCACAGAAAAGGGTTTGCTAAAGGCTTGCTGAATAATGAAATGAACAAATGAAGGGACCAATCTTAAGTAGCTCCTCCCTTCCCAATAGATCACCTAGACTCTGCCTTTGGACTTAACCGGCAAACTCCTAATCATTCTTCAAAGCCCTATTCTGACATCACCTCCTCTCTGAAGTCTTCCTACTCCGTTTCGGTCCTTCCCTTTTTCCCTCATGCCGATTGGCCCTACCTTGAGCCAGGCCATTTTATTTTCTACTCTAGTTGTGTGACCCCGGGTTCAGGACATTTGCAAACGTGAGAAAATAAGAATTCGAGGGGAGCCTGGGTGGCTCAGTCATTAAGCCTCTGCCTTTGGCTCAGGTCATGGTCCCAGGGTCCTGGGATCGAGCCCCACATCAGGCTCCCTGCTCAGCGGGAAGCCTGCTTCTCCCTCTCCCACTCCCCCTGCTTGTGTTCCCTCTCTCGCTGTGTCTCTGTCAAATAAATAAAATCTTTAAAAACAAAAAAAAGAATTCAAGTATTCTCCAAACACCGGGCACTGTTTTAAGAGTCTTCCACTTTGATCCTCGTGGTTACTCCCATTTTACACATGAAAAGCCCAAGGAGTGGAGAGGTGAGGTCAGCCTGTGGGCAAGGGGCTGGCTGGGAGCTGAGTCCGCAGTGCTGTGTGGCCTCCTGAAGGAGCATAGGCTCAGGCTCCCGGTAAAAGACACCTGTCACCCCTCCTGTGCCCCTGGTCCTGGGCGGGGCACACAGGATGAAGCCAATGCAAACTGCTGTGTGCTGAACAATCTCCCCACCGTTTCCTGGGGTCTCCTCGGAGGCCCCCCAGTGCTGACAAGGTGGCTGCTGCCTGTGGCAGGGGTCCTTGGCCGTGGGACCCTCACCCTCCCTCAGCGGGTCTCTACCAGGGCTTGGAGGAGGCTCATCCCGACATCTCGAGGGGCAGGGCCACGGACTGCTAGCGCTGGCGGGGCTGGAAGGGCACACCGCAGGACGAAAGTGAGCTCTGCACTGCGACACAGGGGGATGGGCCTGGCTCACCAGGAAGGCAGAGGGCACCGCCGGAAAGAACCAGGCTCACAGTGGCAGAAGGCCCGCTTGCGGGAACACAAAGGGGAGCCGGCAGTGAGACAGGGTGACCATCCCTGGGGGAGTGCAGGGGGTGGTAGGAAAGGTGGTAGGGACTGTGGGGGGTGGTAGGTAGGCTGAGAGCCAGGCTGGGGATGGGCTGCGGTGCCCCCTCGGGGCTGGCCAGCCAACGTCAGCAGGAGGGTCAGCCAGGGCAGGAGACCAGGGCCATGGAACCCATGAGGACTATGGACAGAAAGGGCCACCTAAAGGCATCAGCATTCAAAATTAAAAGATAAAACTCCAGTGGTTTTATCTGCAGGAGCCCACTGCACCTGCTGGACAGGGCCCAGCCCTGCTCCCTAGGCACAGGCGCCCAGAAAGGTTCGGTGTCCACGGGCCATCAGTGAGGCTGCCTGGCATTCGTGGGTTTCTGGCGGTGGCCTAAACCCAGGGGAAGGACTCCCGAAGTCCAGGCTGAAAATCACCACGGTTAACAGAGGTCCTCCTCAGACCTGCCCACGCGCCCAAGAGCTGAGGTTGGAATGGGGAGCTGTCTGTCAGGTGGAAGGACGGGAGGTGCCCCGGATGGGGTGGGTGTGCTGGGGTCAGAACTGGAAGTGCAGTGGGCGGGGGCAGCAGGGGCCTCTACCCCGCCTTCAGTGGGTTCTTGGGTTGAGGTCTGCATCCTTTCTCTCCAGGCCTCAGGGGTCACCTGGGGGCACAGGGACACCACCACCTGGCCAGGCACACCTCCCAGGAAGGCTCAGGGCAGCTGTACCCTCCAGGAAGACCCCAGTGCTCAGGCAAAGGCTCTCAGGACCCCTTGAGGGCTTTCCCCAGCACAGCTCCAAGAGCTGAGCAGGGCTGCCTCCAGGCACCTCCCGGGGCAGGGGGAGGCAGGCAGAGCATGGCGGTGGAGCTGCAGGCCTGGCTGGGGACAGTGAAGACGCATCAGGACAGTTGCTGCCCCAGGGCCCCCAGGCTGCAGGCCAGCTGGTCCCACTGCCTCCAAGGGGCAGCTGCCGGCCTGCAGGCGTCACTCTGTGCTCAGGGCTCTGGCAAACCGTGGCCCCAGAGGAGGGCTCTGCACCTCCTCCTTCCCCTCCAGCCAGTGCGTCCAGGGGAGTCAGGGCAAAAGGCTGGATGCCCAATGTCTTTGCAGGTTTCAGTGGGCACTGGAAGCCCCCAGAGAATGGAGTCCTGGGGGAGCTTCTGGGAGCAGAGCCCTCCGGGGGGGCCTCCAAGGAAAAGCCCTGGCTGGGTGGGCGGCCCTGTCTGTCCTTGCTGGGGAGGGGCTCCATACCTTGGCACAGCTGCATGGCCTGCTGGGACCCTCAGTCTCCGAGGGGTGGGGAGGCAGAGGGCCGGGGACTGGGTATCCAGCGGGACCTGCAGGGAGAAGGGGTAGTCAAGCCCCGGCAGGAGGCCAGGGGTACCTGTGCGGCCACGCCCTGTAGGCCTCTGTCTCGCCGTGAACGGACACTCGGTCTGAGATACTTGGCTGTGCCAGCCCTGCCCGGCCCGGCGGGCCAGCGTGGGGGCCCAGGGTAGGAAGCAGGTGTGCCCGTGAAGAGCCTCTGGCAGCAGGCAGGGGCCAACGCCAGTGAGCTGAGCCCATCACGGTGGGCGGTCGAGCTGAGCAGTGCGAACACTCCATCCTGGGCAAAGGCAGGAAAGCACGTGGAAGGTGGCGGCAGTATGGCAGGGGTGGCAGGGTGGAGCCCCGGGAGGGCGGGGCCAGAGGGGGGGCTGTCCCGGCAGAAGGGGGCGACGATCGTCCCAGGGTGGCCGGCTCACAGTGGAAGGAAGCTCCAAGCTGCGGCCCAGCGCTGTGTGGACGGGTGGGTGTGTGGGCGGGGGGGGGGGGGGGCTGCAAGCCCAGCTCACCAGGCCAGCACCACTGCCCTTTTCCCTACATCCCTGGGGAGCCCAGACCCTTACCTGCCAGCCCTCTGCCTCGGTGGGTCCCCTGGGCCCACCCACACCTCTAGTGCCCCTCAGGCCTATGAGCCCCAGGCTCCCCAGAGGACGTGGCCAGCAGGGAGACGGTCGTTGGGAGTGGCCTCCAGGTTTCCTGCTTGGGAAGCTGGTGAGGAAGCGCCGTCCAAGCAGACGTTAAGGTCCCCAAAGCAGTGAAAACTGCAGGACGTGCTCATGGCTTTCCATGAGCTTCCCTCACCAAAGGAGTCTTGGTGATGCCACAAAGCAGGCCCACGTCTGTGCCCACGTCTGTGCCCACAGGCCCAGGCAGAATGCTTCATCCAGCGGTGCTGAGTATGGCCAGGCTGCCTGCGGGGCGAGGTCGGCCGCCTCCAACACACCCAGCAGGCCTGCAGAGGCTTCCTCTGAAGAACAGCGGGGTCTCACCCTCTACGGAGGGCAAGCAGGGCGTGGGCAGCAGCAAAGCCCACTCACGCCAGGGGCCCTGGGACCCTTCTTTCTAGAAAGAACAGGTAGGCCAGGTGTGCTCAGGTGCACCAGGCAGGGTCTGGCTGTCCATGCTTGGACCAGGAAGGGGGATAGAGCCTTGGAAGCTGGGAGGGACCATCAGAGGCCTCGGAATTGTATCACAGAGCAGACAGATTTGGGGAGCTGAAGTCGCCCCCATCAAATGTTGACAGGAACTGAAGTGAGACCCCAGCCGCAGCAGACAAACGCCCCACCACGGTCCCAGTGCAGGGCAAGGGGTGCTCTGGCTCCTGAGGGCAGGGGCGCGGGGCCGCCACAGAATCCGGGGGAGGTCCGCACGCTCAGTCGCACTGCTCCCCCAAGGGCAGGGACTAAGCTGCCGTGTCCTCTGTCTGGCACCCACCGTGGTGTGGGCTCTGGGGCCGCCCTGTCGATGGGCGGGAACCCACCGGACTGCAGTGGACGCGGTCGCGGTACCCTGCCAGAGCAGCCCGCTGCCTGGGGGTGTGGCCCGGGCTACAACACCCACCACCATGGCTCACGAGCAGGAGCCCGCCCAGAGCTAAGAAGCACGGCGCCCCATTCAGCGGAGGAGGCAAGACTTCGGGGAACTGCGAGGACTTCAAGCAGAATGACTTCGAAACTCAAATGGATAGGCCAGGAGCCCGGGAGCCCAGGAGCCGGCAGGGCCCCGAGGGGAGCTCAGCGGCCAGGTCCCAGCCCACGTGAGCACTCCAGCCCCGCCCCGGCCCTCACCTCCCCGCAGGGCCCCAGACACACGTGGAGCCAGAGGCTCAACGCCCAAGCCACGTGGCCCTGGCACAACCAGATCGTAACGTCGCAAGCAGCTCATGTCTGCGGGGCCCTCCTGGGACGCAACCGGCCCGCTCTCCCCCCCAGCGCGGGCCCGCGTCCCCGGCGGGGCTTCCCCGCGAGCAAGCATGCCTCGTACAGCAGCATGGGGTGTCATTTCCCTTTAATTCAGATACACAACGTTTGCAGCAGTTTAAAAACTTAAATACACGTTGCAGGTCAGTCCTTCCCTCTCCTCTTGGCAGCGGACAGTCAGGTCCGGGCCAGGGCTCCGGGACGCGCCCCTCACAGCCTTGCTGGCCCCCGCGTGGGGTGGCGGTGGCAGGCGGCGCAGCAGGAGCACATGGCCTGCCGACAGACACTCGGCCACAGTGCCCAGGAGGGAGTTTGCACAGGTGGCCCCACTCAGAGCCCAACCACATGCAGCAGGTCCACAAGGGCCACCATCCTCCAGCGCCGGCGGTCACCACCCTGTTTGCACAGGGAAACGGCAGTGACTGTCCAGGGCCAGGTGCTCCCCGAGGCACTCGGGGCAAGGGAAGAGGGTTCCTTCAGCTGCATTAAAAGTGACAGGTGCGCGGGGGAAAGTGACCCCTGAACCTTCCAGGCCGGCAGCACCAGCAGTCCTCCTGAGCTCTCCAGCAAGGCCGCTCCCCTGCTACTGCCCCCTGCCCCCCACACAGAACCGTCCCACGGTCACACGGCTGGCAGCCGTGGCTTCGAGGGCTCACTGGAGAGGGAAGGACACAACACAGAGTGAGGACGTATGCTGGGAAGGATGCTCCCAGTATCAAGAGGAAATGAATCCCACTCCCCGGAAATGCCAGAGAACCCCGCCCCCTGCAGCCCCCCGCCACAGAAGGAAGCTTTGTCTACAGGACGGCCAAGGGCAGTTCTTGCTGGTCAGAGTCTGTTCCAACAAAACCCACAACAAGGGCTCGCTGCAGCTCCTGGGAGAAGCCGCCCCGGGGCCCTGGGACTTGGAAGTGACACGGGCAATGGGGGGGCCTGGGTGCGGTTGGGGGTCCTCTAAGAGGCAGGGCCTTCTGGTGCTACATTCTGGGTGTCTGGAGGGGTCAGCCGCATTCATCCTCTGGAAAAGATCCATTTGCTGGCAAAAATAGGGTGGAGGAGCGGGTACGGGCAGCCCGCAGCGGGGCAACAAGGAAGGGAGGCACGTTTCTGGGGAAGGCACGTGCATCACCCTGGTTTCACTCAAGTCTGTGCTCAAAGTGTCGGCAGCAGAACAACCCCCCCTCTGCAAACAAACCTGCCAAATTAGCATTTTCAACAACATTTGGATTGATGATATGACTGCTGCTTGCCACAGACCTCTAGGAACTTGATAGTCTTTTAATTCCTTGTGCAGAGAGCTGGCAAGGTGGATGGACCCTTTTCTCAGTAGGATTTTAATGAGCAATGACACAGTTCCTAGACGTCTCTGCCATGCAGCCGACTCCCCGTGGCACGGCTAAGAAAAGCCGACTTCTGCAAAGAACTGACGCGGCCATTCTTGGTAGCCTTGCGTATTTGCATACTGAGATATACGTATCGGCCAGAGCTGGGCTCCAGGCCCCCTTGTTAAGACTATTTCGGGTCGATGGCAAACAAGGGAAGACCAATGACGCTTGCAGGTGAGCCCAGTGATATGGATACTAAGGGGAACGGTTCCAAACCTCACATTCACAGTGTTACTTCCTACAGATATAAACTCCTCAGCAGGAAGAGCATGTGGCCCGGGGTGCTCAGAGCCACGGAGGTGACGGTGGGGGGATGGAGCACTTTCCTGCGCTCACAAACATGCTAGCAGGCTTTTTATGGGAAACGGCAGGATGAGAAATGGGAGCCCAGCGGGGGTGGGGGACAATGGTGACTTACTTTCCGTTAAGGTTCCCTTCTGGTCCTGCCCAGACATGGGACCCATTTCTACCACTCACGCCCTGGCTCAGTGGGGCCTCAGCGGGGGCTGGCGGGAAAACCCTGCACCCCAGGAGGTCCCAAACCGCTGCAGCAGGAAAGGGCAGGAAGGAAAATGGCAACTCTGGGGCAGGGGGTCAGCTTGGGGGTCTCCAGGCAGTTTGGTGTGAGCCCTGCAGGCCTGTGTGCACTGCAGTGGGCTGTCAGGCCCGTACTGGCCAGACGTCAGGGTAACTAACCAGGCACCAAAACTCCTTCTTTGCAGACTCTGGAAAGGACTTCAAAGTTATCTTCACTTACCACATGAAATACCCAAAATGCTGCCTGCGCTTGAACTCACGACCAAACTGACCAGCATGGCAGCATCACGTGACCAGCCCACCTCCGGGGGCCAAGAAGGCCAAGTGCCTGCCAGCATCGTCAGACAGCAAGCACGGCCCCATTCGTAGGCACGCCACAGGCTCTGCCCAGCAGGGGTCAACCCAAACGTCCAGGCCTCGTCTGCACTGGACGGTTTGGCTACTTTGGGGCTGGAAACAGCTGGTCCAGTGGCCTGGGTCTAGGGTAGAAGCAGCGGCTCTGAGGGACCACAGGCTGGCCAGTCGCTGCCCAGTCCTGTCCCTTCCTGCCCCCTCCAATCGAGCCCCATCATGGGTCCAGTGGGCACAGATCCGCACCCTCCCGAAAGGAGGCCCAGTGTATGGGTTGAGCAGGAAAGGAGACGGAGGAGGTGCTGGGGTCCTTCTCTAATGGTTGCCAAGACACCAAGCTTTGCTCTTGATGAAGAGAGGTGCAGACAAAGGTAACTCTATTACATGCCTGGGCCCTAACACACAAGAGAAACCACATGGGAAGACCCCAACAGCGGCTAGTCGGCCCCTGGGCAGACTGTAGCCCACACTCTGCTCGGGATGGGACAGACATCTGGGCCGGCGTCGCTGGACACGACAGACTGCCGCGACCAGGTGGGCTGGCCTTGTCAGTGCGGTGCCAGTGGTCCTTCACTGGGGAGCGAAAGCTTTAGAGCGGTCCGTGCGGGAGGAGGAGGGTGCTGTGGGCGGGCCCAGAGAGGCCCCGCCCGTGCACGGGACAGGGGAGCGGGCACCTTCCAATCCTCAGAGGGGCTGTGTGAATTCCTGACCGAACACCTGAACGTTAAACATCCCTAAATTCTTATCAGATGGGGACGCGTGAGAAAGAGTGCAGTGCACCACAGAACGTCACCAGCGTGTTAGTAAGACAGACAGGTGCCCGGGGGGAGGAGCTCCGGGGCAGAGAGCAGGGGGCGGCCGGGACAGGACCGGCTCAGGGGGCTTCTGCAGGCGCTGTCGCATGCGGCACAGACTTGGCAATGCACATACTTTACACGGGCATAGAAAGTTACCTTAAAATTAATCTCTTTACTGATATAATTAAACTTTAAATCCTGAGAAGAAAACAGAGAAAGGGAAGTGTGGCGCTGGGTGTCGCGTTCCCAGTACCCCCGACCCACACACCCCACGGCATTCCCATCGGGGGGCTGGGCATGGCCCTGGCCCCCAGGCCAGAGCCCTGGGGAGCGCTCCCGAAAGCCTGCCGGCGCCACCTTCTGCCTGTGGGACAGCAGAGAGGCCCGTGGCCAACCTGCAAGACCGAGGACTCCGTCCCGGACGCAAGAGCAGCTGTAGCCTGGTGGCCGCGGGCAGGTGGGCGCTAAGAGGACGGGAACAGCCGGCTGGCTGGCGTTTCGCACTAGCTGCAGCACAGAGGGTTAGTGACCAGCGGCTCCTGCCCTCCGCAAGGACTCAGGCTCAAACCCACGTTCCTGCGTGTGGTCCCTGCACGCAGCCTCCCTGCCACAGAGCTCCTCTGCCACGGGCAGAGCCGGACACCGCCTGCTCGGCCACGGCGCGACTCGAGGGGAGGCCTGGGTGCGGAGCCACGCCGGCGTGGGCAGGCCCCCCCGGCTCTGGTGCCTCTGCCCCGTGGCACTCAGCATGTGGCGACCTTGTGGACGTTCCGCAAACAAGTCAGCAATCGATGATATGGGTTTCCTGGTGCCGCGACCACCTCGAACACGGACTGGAAGGCCCGGCGGTCCAGCTCCTCTTCTATCTGGTGTCTGTAAAAGTCCGTGGCCACCAGGCAGAAGAGGTTCACGTCCACCTGCTCCAGCTTGCCCATCCTGCTGATGACGTGGGGAAGGCTGGGAGAGGAGTTAAGGGAGCAAGGCTCGAGTGAGGGAAGAGTGGTCCCCCGTGCGTGCCTCTCCGTCCTCACCAGGCTGTCCTCCCCCGACACGTGTCTACAGACGGGCCCGGGGCTGGGGGGGCCCTGAGAGCCGAGGCCGGGGCACCTGGACTGTGCACCAGCAGCAGCTGCCTCCCAGCTCAGCTCCTGCCGGCCAAGCGGGCACGGCCAGCGGGCACGGCTGTGCTGGCTGGAAGCCCGGCCCTGGCCAGCAGGGCAGGGGCGCGGGCAAGCCGGCTGGGGGCGCCCCGCAGCGAGGGGGCTCCGCTCCACAGCACTTACCTGGCCTGGCTCCCCGCACAGCACCGGCCGCCGCTGCTCCCACCGGCCCTGCTCCCGCGGGGAGAGGGCACAGCCATGGCCCCCCGGCCGGGCCCTCCCAGGCAAGGCTGAGCGAGGCCTGCCACCAGCACCCGCACAGCCGTCTGCTCAGACGCGCTGGGCTGTCTTGGGGGAAGGCTGCCAGAGGAGAACATCCCCTTTTGGCAGCCAGCATTTTTGGGGTGGGAACTGGATCTTTACTTAAGCCTTTCACCCGAGAGGATGACACAAGGCACAATGGACCAGGAGTAATGAAAAGCAGCGTCAGCCACAGACCCAGCTGCATGGGGCCCGCGGGCGGGCGGGAGGAGGTCCACAGGGACCTGCGGGAGCACCCCTCCGGCCCGCCTCTCCCGGCGGTCCCGGTCAGTGTGGTAAACACCCGCCTTCCTATTCCCTTACCCACGCTGCACTCTCTCGAGGCTTAAGATAAATGTCATCTGACAGCTGGCTTCCTTGCAAAGGTTAAACTTCCAAAACTTTAACAGAAACATGAACCCAGATGCTGAGAGGAGAGTCTGCAGGCCTGACAAACAGGAGCCACGGCACGCTGGCCTGGACCCGGGAAGGATACACAGCCGAGACCCACGGGCTGGTGGAAGCGCTGATGAAGAAGCAGGAGAGGCTCCACACGGCCATTGCCACCGGGGTCCTCTGGGTGAAGTTGGAGAGGGACAGCATGACCCAGTCCCGGACCATGGATGACTGCCCGGTGGTGTGCAGCGTCTGGAAAACCTGAGAAAGACGAGAGGCTGGGTCAAGGGGTGCTGCTGGCTCCCAAAGGTGAGGAACTGGGCCCACAGGCAAGTCCACTGGGTCAGCACATCCACATGGTAAAAGGCATTCAGTCTGGAAAGTCTGGGTGGGTCCACCTTGGGGGCCTCCCCGGCCGCGTGACCCAGTGCCCTCACCTTGTACACAACGGTGGCCATGAACTGAGGGTATGGCTGCTGGTTGGAGAGAAATTCTCCAATGACTTTGTTCATGACATCCTGGGGTGGGAAGAAGTCGTCTAAAAACTGAGGAAGGATCCGTGCCACCACTCTGGCTTCACAGGGGAACCCTTTCCTGACCCTAAAAGGAGGGGACACAGGTCAGAGTCTGGCCCCACCCTGAGAGGGCCTGGCATCTGAAGCCAGTTGGGAGATGCCCTGGGTCCTAGACTGTGACCTGCAAGAGCAAACAGGTGACACCCCTCCCTTGCTGACCTCACCGGGGACCTGCAGATGAATGCACAGACCCAGGGCCCCCACCCCATGGAGGAGGCCGATGACTCAGAGAGGGGTTTCTAAGTCATGTCAAGTAATAAGCAGAAAGGGTTTGATGATGCCATCAGAGATAAAAAAAAAAAAACTCCTAAGAACACTGTCCATGACATGTTGGCTTCTGTCCACGTCCAAATGCTCTCTGAGCTTCCTCTCAGCTCCCCATTCCGAAACCACAGCACTGCAGTCAGCAAGGACCTTTCTCCTTCCCTGACGGGGGCCCGCACACACTCCTGCGGACGCCCCTCCGCCCCCGAGACTCCGGTCTGCATGCTCCCGTGAGTGCACACAGAAGGGCCACATGCTGCGGAAAGGCTCCGGAACTGGCCCAGAAACTGGACCCGTGCCCCCTCGCAGGTGTGCTCGGATGCCCGCCTGCAGATGACAGCCGTGGCCGAGCATGTGCAAGGTTGCTGCCCTGGACGATGCCCACGGCTGAACACGACTTCTGTCAACCCGGCCCCACCCTGGGCGTGTGCGGCACGATCAAGCTGCATGCCTGTCGGCACTCGCTACAATCCTGGTTTGTTTGGTTAGCACCGGGGCACAGGGTCCACGAAGGCGGGGACTCAAGTGTGGGCTCCCCTGCCTGCCACCCGGCTGTGGTCGAGCTTGACGGATCTGTGTGGAATGGAAGAAGGGCTACAAACACTCATCTTAAGTGTCAATACAGAAACAGACTGCAATGCTCGGCTTTCCACAACACCTCATCTGGCCCAAGTGGAAAGACGGACAGCCTTGCTCAGCGCGCTCTTGTGAAAGCCAGACACTTCCTGCTGACCGAGCTGAAGGGACAGGACAGGCAGAGTGGCACACAATGGGCCTCCCAAGGCCACGGACGCATCATGTTGCCTGGGCTGGGAGGCCTGGGTCAGAACCCGAGGCCCTGTCCTGGGGAAGGAGCCTGGCAAGGTGCCTGACCCATTTTCCAGAACTGGCAAGCCGAGCCAACTCTGGACACAAGTGCACACAGTGGGGAGAGGCGGGGGTTAATGACAAGCCCTCAGGGGCACCTGGGTGGCTCAGTCGTTAAGCGTCTGCCTTCGGCTCAGGTCATGATCCCAGGGTCCTGGGATCGAGCCCCGCATCGGGCTCCCTGCTCTGCGGGAAGCCTGCTTCTCCCTCTCCCACTCCCCCTGCTTGTGTTCCCTCTCTCACTGTGTCTCTCTCTGTCAAATAAATAAATAATAAAATCTTAAAAAAAAAAAAAAATGACAAGCCCTCAGAGGCGCTTTTGTTTATTGTCTAAACCTTTACCATAGTCTACTCAACACTAGTCCCGAGCCGTTGCTAATGCTGCTCAAAGGCTGTGCTCCTCATGGCCCCGGGGGCGGGACCTCGAGGCTTTCCCCTCCCCAAAGGCGGCAGTGTGTGATGGACATCTTTGGGACTGCTCAGAACTCCACGCGCAGGACTTGTCTTGTTAACAAGCCCCTCCTGATGCCTCCACACTGAGGGGTGCTGCCCCCCACCTTCACGAGATGGGCAAGGGCTTGGACTGGCCTCAGAGCTGGTCAACCCCAAGCTCCCGGGTGCTGGTGTCCAAGGACTGCCCACCCCCGCAGAGCCCCGAATGAGGTGTATGCATAGTCTAGACACAAGTGGGAAGCTGGTGGACCACAGGGGCAAGGCTGAGAGGAAAGCAGGTGCATGGGAAGGCAGCTGCTCCTGGCGAGCACCCCAGGGCAGCTGACGGCAAAGCTGGGCTTCGTTGCTTACCTGTCAAAAAGAACAGACACGCGTTCCATAGCCACAATCACTGACTCACTGTCTGGGGCGCCGGGGCTGGGGTCTGAGGTTCTGCCCGGACTGATTTTCTCCTTCCCTGAAACAAATCCTTCTGTACGGTTACATGCTTTGAAGACTGTGCCTTGAACGCACACAGGAGTTCAACAAACCCCAAGAGATGATGTGAAACCAGGTGAAGGGAGCTCTCAGCAGCCCAGGGCCCAGCCCAGGTACACAGGGTGCAGTGCTCAGTCCGCAGACCACTTTGCAGTTACAGCAATGTGACCTTGAGCCAATAACCTCATGCTCCAGGCTCTGGGATCTCCCTCAAGCGCCAGTGAGGCCCTGTGGTCTGCGTCCCGAGAATGAGAATGCTCCTCGCTCACTGAGACGGGAGGAGGCCTGTGTGGCCTGCAGCTTGGCGGCACTGACCTGCCGGGCACGGGTGGGCCTGTGCCCCCGCGGCTCACCTGTGTACATGCAGGTGAGCATCAGGCCCAGGGCGGCCATGGCCCGGTGTGGGCTGTGCACATTCACTCTGTCCACACTCAGCTTGACCAGGGACTCCGCATCCAGGCGGCACAGCTGTTCGCACAGCAGGAGGCGCTCCAGGCCCCGCAGGACGCAGTGGTAGATGATGGACGGGGTGGCTTCCTCACTTCCGGACAGCATCACCCCACACATCTGAGCAAGA